ATGTGCGTACGTGTGAAACGTGTCAACGGGTGAAACCCTCACCCCACGCGGCCGCGCCGCTGGCTAGTTTGCCTATACCCAAAGGGTGTTGGGAGTCCATCAGTATGGACTTCCTGTTCGAATAACTGAAGTATTTGTATGGAAATACGGTTATTGTGGTCTTTGTTGACCATTTGAGCAAGATGGCTCATTTAGCGGCGGTGCCAGATGCTATTGAAGGTGAAGGTACAGATACGCTGTTTATCGATCGAGTGTTTCGAAAACACGGCTTGCCGCTGGCAATTGTCTCTGATAGAGATCCTCGCTTCACTGGAAAGTTTGGAAGTCCATCTTCAAGGTGCTCGGCACACGTTTGGACATGTCCACAGTGGATCATTCGCAGGCTAATGGTCAAACTGAGCGAGTGAATCGCATCATCGGTGACATCTTGCGCAGTGTTTGCGCTAAACGCCTAAGCGTTGGAGTTCAATGCTCCCTGTCGTTGGGTTTGCGTTGAATAACGCCGTGCATGCCTTTACCGGCTACACACCGTTTTATGTGAATGGTCTCACACACCCTCGCGTTCCGTTAACGCTACCACTGCGTGGTTCAGGGCTTGGTAGGGGAGTAGTTGCCAATCAGCTTGCTGGTAGCAACCCTGCTACTGTTCAAAATTAGGTAAGCGAGTTTCTCGCAACGCGATTGAATGTCTTACAACATGTGCGTGACGCACTGGCTGATAGCCAAGACAAGCAGAAGGAACAAGCTGATGCTAAAGGCAGATGTTGTATTGAACGTTATGAGGTCGGAGACCAATTTCTACTTAATGCTAAAACCTACCTTCAAATGTAGTGTCTGCTGTATTCAAGACCAAGTTGCGTCCGCGTTTCATTGGACCATTTACGGTCGTCGCCAAGAAGGGACTTGCGTATACGCTCAACCTTCCGCGAAAACTGCGCATACACCCCGTGTTCTACGTTGCTTTGCTTAATCCGTATCGGGATCCGTCCCACGCGAACTTGGAAGCGCTTGCGCCGGGTAGGTTGGCCTTGCCATCGGTTGATAAATCCATATCAGGAGGTCAAGCTGATCCTCCATCCGGGCTTGGCCCAATTTCAACGCCTGGACACGGGCTAGGATCGCGTCAAACGCTATCTGGGTCTTACCCAATGTCTCACGGAGACCACTCATATCGAGAAGCACCTTCTCATGCTCCTCCTTCGGTTTATCGACCACCTCCGACGCTGCTTAATGAGCAAGGAAACCGCCAGTTCCATGTGGACCGACTCCTGAAATGACGTCGTCGTCAGGATCGATACCAGTATCTGGTGAAGTGGCGAGGGTATCCGGAGTCGGAGAACTCGTGGGAGTGTGAGATACCCCTTCGGCAGGATTGCCCATACGCCGTTGATGTTTTTGAACATCGTGGCAGGGGTCATCCCTCGACCGAGTAGTGGCGGAGGCAGGTGGGTAGTTGGGTACCGCTTGACCAACACTTACATCAATCGGCACAGTCGGAGCATAGCGTGTGCGAGCTCGCAACTGGCCTCTGGCCTTAAGCTTGGGTAATCATACCGAAGCTTTCGTTCTAGCCGAACATCTGCCACATCGGCACTTGCTCTGAGATCTAACACGCTTCTGAACCGTCTTTTCCGACACAACCAGCGAACAAGTGCGTTGTCTCCTTCCTTCTGAGATTCGCCTGCGAATAAGAGGATGAATATACTCTTCATCGGTGGAACCGGTGCACCCCGGGCTTGCGTGTCAAGTTGCAATTCGTATAGACTCTGAGTCGTCAAGTGAGGTTGCAGGTACCTCTCACGAAGTGCCTGTCGACTCGCCACCTCATCAGAAGATGTTGGCTGGCGCCGATAGCCCACGTTGACAAGGAACGGCCTGTCGTTCGGCGTATTCGCTCCTCCACACCAAGTGTAGTTAACAGATAGCTACGGAGACCCTCAAGGGTTGCAGCAAGCTGCGTACGGCGCTGAGCGCTCTCCTCTCGTTGGATAGCCAACTGTTGTTGCTTATCGAACAGATTGGTGATGATGGCATCGCCCACGATGGGAGTTTGATGCAGCGCCGATGGCGCGTTGGCTTCGCCAAGATCGTCAAATGGGTTCGGTGGAGTATGAGGCGTTGCCTCTTGCACTGGTGAGTCGGACATTGCCCTCTCTTCACCATGAATATCGGTATGACTACCATAGTTCACCTCCACATCAATGCCGAGGTAGAAAGAGAGTCGAGGAATCATTGCGTGGCGATGATATGGTGTTTCGTGTTTTGCCAACCGTAAGGTCGAAGCATACACACATTGTCCTCTTCGAGGAAAGAATTCGATTGACGTTTTGCGGAAACGTCAGTCTGGTGTGGGAGGGTGTAACAAGGTTACACATCGACTGGTAGTCGACAATAGGTGTGGTTCACACAAGGGATGGGATCCCCTTTTAAGTGGAACTTGAACACGGTATCAATTGTTGAATACTGATGTCTGTCAACCGTCGATTACGAGATCTTTTGATAGGTTTTATACAGGAAATTAGCGAGTAGGTCAATTACTTTGTTCTACGGTGTTCTTTTAGGTTGAAAGAAGAAATGAAGCTCAGTTCCTATTTTGATCAACAAATGACACGTGCCTCTCTGAGGCGTCTTGCGATCGTAAGGAAGTAGCAACGCCTTGTTAAAGCAGCTACCCCTTGTGCACTCTGTGCGTTGTTTTTATGAGTCGTTTCGCCCCCCTGGAACAGGGACCGTAAGCTCTCTAACCTTGTTGACTCATTGAGTCGTTTTCATTGAAGATTAAGTTGCTCGTTGAGCGTCAAAGTCTTGTTCTGACTTTAGAAACTGTGTAGCTCCGCAGAAGTTTGTACGTGATGTTGGCGCCAATCGTGGTTTGGACGGTACCTTCATGAGGCAAGTACAGCAATGCATCTTCTCGATGGATGCAAGCTCTATCGATTGACTACGTTACGCTGTGGTCTTCTATGCTTCTTAATTAAAACATTTACAGATGATTGTGCATCTTGTTTTCATAGTAAGATAAGGCTGAAGTCGTCCACTCAGGTCTTACAGTGAATGCACCGTATTGTTCGTGCGGATTGTACCCTATGTATGGTGTGGATGATAGCTTCTATCGGAAGTGTTGTTCGACAAATAGGCGCTTAATTGCGGGTGGTTGCGTGATATATTACACTGATACGCCATGCACACACTGGTGGACAGATCAAAGTCCCAACTAAGATTATATGATGGCAAGAATAACAAATATTACGGGTGCACCATGAAAAGTGTGGGCACGCCGGTACGTTTATTCATAAATGCATAAACTTGATGACGCGAGGGTCATAATCTTGTTTGAACGCATGCTGAGCAACTTTAAATCAAAGAATCTAGCACAATGAAGTGTCAGTATTCCGTACCACGGGTTTGATGTGGACCAAAATGAAGAATTGCCTACGCTTGTAGGCATAGTTTTCTCCAACGCAAATAGCAATGTCAAACCTTTTTTCACAGCTTCAAGACTGCAGTATCCGTATTAGCGCCCACATCAATACAGCAGTAGCATATCAACATTGTGACAACCGTAATACTCGCTCAACATTGCGCGTTCTATCAGCGAGATTAACACTTCACCAGTCCGCTAAATCCGCGTAATTGACTGCAGCTTTACCAAAATAATGTGAACGCTCACCAGTACAATGTATGCTCTTACTGCCTATATCCATTCGTCGTCTATTGTTGCCATTTGTCTTTCGTTTAACACCGCTTACACCAGAGTAAGGCGGCAATTTGACACGCCGCTGTCTATTCCATCTACATCCAACCAACCGCCAAGGCGACAGCCACATTATTACAACGTCAATCGATCTCGATAAACGAGAGAGAAGCTACGTGGTCTTGCAATCGAACGATATATAAAACAGTCTTTGGTTTCGATTGACGCGTCAAAGCACCATTTCCTTCTTGCGAAATGGCTGTTGACGGATACAGTTGGAAAGTTTGTACCTGGTGTATAAAATAAGGAATGAAGAAGATGTGCGTCGATGTGGGCAAATGATTCCAGGTATGCTTGTATTCGCTCGTATAGCATACATCCGTGAAGGTATTCCAAAAACGTGTCTAGAACAAGAATTTGAGTTCGTGTATACACCAAGCTTTTGTTGCATGACAGTCTTTAGCACAATCGACCAACCATGTGGTACGAATGATGCGCATGGATCACCGCGTTTGTGCTGGACATTCGTGCCGGTGTCACTACGTGGCTCATATCGTCGTAGGGGCGTTGTTGGGTAGATGGTGCACTATAGTGACCCACGAGTCCAAGCCTCCATTCGACGAATCGGTGCAGAAAGCACATCAGAATGCGTAATTGCCGCTAGACTCGGACGCAGGCCAAAACGAACTTGCTCCGTGATCAAATTGAGGTGTCAAAGCCTTTGTCATCGTGGATCGAACTCCAACAGTCTCCGAATGCCAATTGACTTGTGGCTAGCCCAAAGACACATCGATACGAAGAACACTCTATCTCTCGTACACACTTTCTGAAGCACGTGAGCTCTGGTGGTTTCGTTTGAACCACCTGCGCATAGCAGTGGTACCGTGTTGTCGGCTCAAGCACATAGAGCTACTAGAGCACATCTCCATCTTTCATCACGCATTCGCATACGTATCAGCTGATTCACAGGAGCACTACTTCAAACACGTGTGCTTGCGGATTTCGGGCTGAGTGTTGTCGGATCCCATGTGTTTGTAATAAATGATAAACCTCGTGTTGCCCATAGTCCCCTGTCAGGTACACCTCTTGTCCATGTGGCATAACTTCGGACGTAATGGTATGCCTCGACGCGCTTGTCGTTGTTCGGTGGCTGTAGTCTATCGTGGCATCGAAACGAGTCTTTCAGCCACCGAATCGCACTTTGTCGGATGGTGACATATACTGCTGGACACCGTCCACCGTCTGCAGTCAGTCACGTGAAGAGCTCTTTGTACCCATCTGGTAGCTGCACAGACCTTGTGCCGCTATGACAGTAGCGAGCGACGTGCTGCCATTGATCCACGCCTTGTTGACTCGCTCTGGCCTGAGAGAAGCAGCAACTGCATTGGCAAAGGAAGCCAAGCTACAGCCCCAGGCGTTGGAGAGCACGCACGATTTGGTCGATGTGTACTCGTATTACGTGACGCACAAAGTCAACGGGAGCAAAAGAGAGGCCGCGGCTCGCCTCGTGAAAGAGAACACAGTCACGAAAGAGCAGAAGAAGAAGAAGAAGAAGAAGAAGAAGAGGAAGAAGGAGGAGAAGGAGAAGAGTAGTGGGTCATTGGACTCATCCGAGGCTGAGAAGGAGAAGCAGTTGACGGGGAAGACGGGTTCAAGGAGCAGCGGTCAGAAGAAAGAAAAGGGGAAGACAGTGCTACAAGATACAGAGGAGAAGGAGAGGAAGAAGACGAAGTCGTCCGTGAAAGCAGCTGAGAAAAGGGGGTCAAAGAAGGTGGCAGAGTCTCGATCGAGCGACAGCTCGAGCGACTCGTCGGATGAGGAAGTGGAAGGGGCAAAGACATTGGTGAGGAAAAGAGCTGCTGCTGATACGAAGAAGGGAAAGGCAAAGGCAAAGAAGAGTGAGTCGTCGAGCTCGGATAGCTCGTCGGATTCATCGGATGAGTCAGAGTCCGACGACGAAGCGAAGTCAAAGATCCGCAAGCGGAAGACTGAGGCTCTTCCTGCCAAGAAGAACACCAAGAAGGTAAAACGGGACGCAGACTCGAGCTCAGAGGCCAGCTCGTCATCAGACGATAACTCTTCGGACTCTTCGGACTCATCAGACTCGGACTCGGACTCTTCGGCGGACGAAGTGACTCGAAAGAAAGAAGCTGCACGTCGTGATGAGGCAGCTAAGGCTGCGCTCGCGTGGCAGCCTATGAAAATGGTAACGGTCGCCACGAAGGTCAAGTCAGCGGGCACACCATTCCAACGTGTCGATGGCGAGTTCTGGTCGCAGAAAATCGTGAATGACACACTGCGTGACAACAGTTACGAAGGCACGTTTGGCACGGACGGTGTCGGTGTCAAGGCCAACGCGAAGCTTCTTATGACGCGTGGGAAGGATTTTACGAAGGGCAAGAATAAGCTCAAGCGCTCGACGTACATGTGCGGTGCCATCAGCATGGCCTCAAACTCTTTCAAATTCGAGGACTAGGCGGATCTGATAGTTTGGCTGGCAATGTGGCAGAAACGAGGAGCTGGTGTCCACTCTTACTTGCACAGGTAAAAATCCAATAGAATGTATCTCCTTCTCACTGTTTTCCACTCAGGTCTCCATCGTTCGCTCGTCAGGCGTCGATATCAATGTCTGAAGTTCGTCTAGTCCTCGAGTAGATGGCTGAAACGCGCTCCAACACTTGTAATCATCACAAAACGACGTCAGGATCGAGTCAGACCTCTTTGACAAACTGAGATTCATTGTGCCCCCATCTTGAATTCGACGTCCATTGGCACTTTCAGGCGTGGGACGCAGCAGCGCCTTGTCTTGTGGTGCTCTGTTGCCAAACATCGCATCCGACACTTGCTTCGTTCGCAACTTGTAATTAAGTGCTTTCGCTTGCAGCAGCTTCTTTTCTTGCATCAAATGCAAAGCTACTGACTGCGAATCATCTGCAGCTCTGCAAAGTCTCAATGCACACGCAAGATCTCGTTGCGCGAGATCAAACTTGTCCATCCGTCGGAAAGCCTGTGCTCGACGATAGAGCGCCTTCACGTTACCGGCATCGATTTCCAGTGCCTGGTCAATATGGTGCACGGCGTCGTCAAGATGCACCGTCTTGAGTCTACAGGCTGCAACATTCAGCAACGCCTTCAGCTTGAGTGCCTCTGCCTCTGCTTCCTCTTCGTCCGTGTCTGTAAACACATAATCAAAGTACACGAGTGCTTTGTGATAGTGCAGTGCAGCTCGTTGGTACTGGCCGTGCTCGTAGGAACGGTTACCGAGCACTCGAAACTCCTCACACGCTGCCAATTTCGCTGCAGTTGTCATGTCCATCAACTTTTGCTCCTGTGTCGCGCACAAGGAGAGGAAAATACTGCCATCAATACGGGTCGACAACATCTGCCACAAAAAACTATGCGAAGTATGCGTACGGCAGAGTGGTCGTGCGCACAGCCCAATTGAGTTCTGGAGGTACGTTCACGCCGGTCTCGAGTCGCCTGTTCCTGCTTTGCAAGTTCTTCCGGGTCTTCCCACGCGTCCCATTGCTCATACGTTCGGGTCCAGTCGTAGACACTGTCGTTCAGCCGCGACGCGTCCCCTTTTGCTGCTTTAGACTTGTCTAGCTTGACCTCCTCTTGCTCAGTATCAACGAACCTCTCGAGCGCTGCTACCGCGGCCTTCGACTTGTCTGTGGCCATACTGTACTGGAAGGTGCCTAGACGGGGTGGCCAAACGAAATCTGACTTGATGTATCTTTGTAGGATCGATCGACTGATTGGTATCGAGGAGTCGTCCGTCACATGCAAAACGTTCCGATTGAGATAACCCAAATGGAGCACTTTACGAGTAAACCGATGGCCGAAATGGGATGGAAGGAAAGCGGAAGGAACGAGATCGACTTTGCACTCGATCGAGACCACGTGTTAATACTTCGAGCTCGACGAGATGCCACACGAGCGACAAAGGGACTGACAGTATCGTTTAGGAGGCGTCGTGTAGTGCACAAAGAAGAGGATCCCGGCCACTGCGCCCATTCCGAGGAAATACATGCCAAGCATCTGCCGAAACGATGCCACTTCCGACTCGGCGCTTTTGGAATGGCCCTCACTGGTTGACAACGATATATCCTTTTGTGTGGTGGCGCGTTGCTCTTTGAGCGCCGGGCTGCTCGACTTGCGCCGTTCGGAAGACTCAATGTCATTCTGGAACGTCGAGTCAGCGTCCGAACCTGCCTTCACTTTCCCCTGAGGCACGTCGGTGCCACCACCTTCCGTCCTGACGGACGCAGACGACGAGAACTCGTACTCGGACGATGCGTTCGTCGCACGTCCGCCTTTCCTCGACAAGCTCGGCGGATAGCCTTCACTGCCCGACTCGCTGTCCCTCGTCGTTGGCTCTGTCTTCCTGTTGTTCCGAAGCTCTTCGGTGCTGCGACGCGGCGCAATCTTCTTGCCGGTAGCGATCTCGCGCGCCGTCGTGATAAGAATGGCCTGAACGTCCGACACGAACGCTGGATACACCTGATACGAATACCTTCCAGTAGGAATCGCAGCGATCCGATCGTTCGCCTCGTCGCCCTCTTGGATGCATAACCCATACGATGCTACCGTCGCCCCGGGACACTCGGACGCTTGGGGGGCGTGATGGTACCAAGCCGACTCGCCGTCATTGCCAGCTGGCGAATAACCGCACACGACCAGGTTCCCGTCGGCACATTCGCTTGCCGCACACCCCACGAGCGAAGTGGAGGCCCAGACGACTTGCGAGTAGGTATTGTAGATATCGACGCCGACGTCAAGGCCAGTCGAGCCTGGCTGGGCCATGGTCTGAATCGTTGCCACGGCCGTCTCAACGACCCACTCCTGAATCGCCTCGTCAATCGCTGACGACACGTCGCCCGAAGGAGACCGGCGAAAGACGTTCACACCTCGTGCCGTCGTAGCGGAGCAAGTGGCAGCCGCTGCCGCAGCTCGGGTTGCCAGCGCCGCGTCCCACCCGATGCGGCGCATGTTCCCAGCCGACCATGGCAACCCCGTCGTGCGAAAGTAGTTGTGCCGGTCGAGCCAAATCGCTTGCTCTTCTTTGCTGTTGTTGCTCGCCTGAGTGGAAAGCACGAGGAAAGCAGTGGTTGCGGAGACGAAGAGAGCTGTTCGTGCGGCTTTCATGTTTGGCCTCCTATGAATGTCTTGTTCTACGCAGAGCTACTGCGTCGACTGCCGCTTGATCGACGAACGCGCTGCAAGTGCGAAGCAATTCGAAAGCAGAAATGGCCGTTTCGACGACGGTGCAATGCTCAGCAGCGCTTTTGGACTGGCCATGTGTGTCTGCCCTTCGCCACTTGTTTTCCTGCGTCCGGGCGACGTTTTTTTATTTATGTTTTTGTTCTGTAGTTCAGCCTGTACATGTAAGTCTCCTAATGACATGATACGATCCGCTTCCGGTCGGGCCTACGCATTCCTTCCCGATCGTGGTTTCATCCAACTGGTCACAGGCGCTCCTTACCGACTGCTATGTTGCCTGCCAGACCGGATAGTAATATTATAATTGCTACAAATTAATGTCTTTTCGAAATGCCTTACTAGCCGGTACCGTAAATCCCGGGATTATACCAGTTTTGCATCTAGCGTGTCATAATTATTATTAGGACCTTGGGTTGGTCTGACTGTAACGGGGTAGCCCGCTACATGATATTGTCACTAAGGATTAAGTGACACTAGAGAATATTACGCTAGATATTGTTTCAACAATATCGCAAAACATGATGATATTGTTGAAGATGACCGAAGGGTCAACTTATTGGTTGATATCGTGATGATATCAACCCACCAATCGCTGCTAGACGCGCGCAATGGGTGGTGAGTGGACGTCATCATACGTTTAGTTAGATTGATATAATTAAGTCAGGACAATCAGAGACATGAGATTGATAGGACTTAATTATATTAAATAACAGTTTTACTTTACCAGAGACTAGCGTGTTCACTAGTCTCTTTTCACTTCCTCTGTCTTGGTGCAACACTTAGCAAAGCACTAACTATCACTGTTGTCAGTGGAAGTGAACTCCGTACTGGTCATCCAGTACGTAGTCACCAGTGCCCCGTTACACCTGGTAGCACTATGTAGTCCGTCCAAGGACCACACTCGCGTCGCCATACATGAACATGTTAAACGAAGTCGAAGGCGACAGATTTCACGGAACTCGTAAAAGCTACTCCTATTTGAGAGTAGCCGAATGGAGTGCGATCGAACGAATGAGTTCGACCGTTGGCAAAGAGGCTATCTAAATCATGCTATTATCAAGGGATAGAGACCAGCAGCATGCCGTCATCAGCAAGCTCTTGCAACGAGAACTTGATGATTCGCGAGCGCAGGCGACCTTGTTGCAACAACAAGGGCATCAGCGGACGGAAGCACTGAGACTGCATCCGTTTCAGTCCGCATTGTCGACGTGTGAGCGTCGACAGGAGTCTCTAAAGTTAGGGATCTCCAATTATCGGGGAGAAGAGAAGGACTACCTGTTAAAATGGTTCGTCGAGGTCGACGGTGCCATCTAGGCCCGTCGCATCGACAACGAGCGAATGCAAGTCGCATTCGATCAGTCCTACTTTGCAGGGGACGCCAAATATCAGGCCCTGAATCTCAAGTTACACGACCCGAACGTTTTCGAGTCGGCTAACGTCTTCGAGAACCTGCTCAGTGAGACGTTTGAGCCTCCCAGGGTAAAGTTCAGGACTCTCTCTGAACTCCTTGAGATCATACAGGGTAAGCTTAAGGTTCACGCTTACGCTCAGCATGTGCTATATATTTTGCAAGACGAATGGTAGTGAATCATGTGAGTCTATAATGAAGACCACAATATTCATCTAAGGTTTTGCAGATGGTCCTGTCAGGGAACACCTGGGTCGCGGGGAGCTAACGACGCTTTCTGAGCGATCTACGCTGCGTATCAGGAAGTTTAATTATAGATAGGCTCACACTACGCTGAGCCCCTATCGTCCACAGAGATGACCGGTGGTCGGAGGTTCAGATTTAACTGACCTCTGTCATGTCGAGGGCGAGAAACCTTGCACTGTGTATGACAAGCGAATGGTGAGATGCCATCTCTGTCATAAGCTGGAAAATAATGCATACGAATGCAGTATTTCCCGCTCAGAACCCCGTCGTGCTGAGCGCGGTAAATTTCTATTAGTTGAAGGAACTGGAGGAAGAATGTCCGATGCTGTTGAGAAGCCGCAACAGCGAAGTGGACCATCAAAAAATGGTCGGGTCCAGTAGGGGCGGAGCGCCTCACTGATCCGGCAACATCGAGTAAAATTTGCAAATCTCTTGACGAAGGTTGCTCCCGACACACAGTCACTGTGTGTCTCTGCAACTGGTGATGAGGTTTCCCTAATCACCTTGACCTTGAAAGTGACAAAGGACTTGTCACTTCGCGTCCTAGCTGAATGTGGGGCGTCAAACAACTTTTTTCTCGCCAGTCACTAGAGGCTGGAAGTATCAGCTTTGTGGAGCGGGAGATCTCTCCAACGAGAATAAAGGTGCGCTTTGCGACAGGCGCATCGATTACTGTGAAGAATGTGCATTCGGAATCCTCTACACGCTGAACATAAACAGTACTATGATAATCTCAACGTACTCGACCTGGCAGAAAAGTGTGATGTCATCCTAGGACTACCTTAGCTCAGGAGATACAAGTAAAGGATGAGATGTCAGCACCGATCAGTATCGATTACTACCACTTGTTCATCAGGTGACGATCTGAAGAGTTTCTTGGGACGCCCAAACTCATGTGGGTGTACTGCGAGTGAGATGCGATGGCCTCACTTGCGGTACGGTCGTTAGCACGACTGCACAAGGTCACAGTGTAGTTGATCACTACACTGTGGAGCAAGCTCTCCTGGACTCTGTGAATTTGACTTCCCATAAAGTAATCTGGACAGTAATGGTCTTCATTAATGCCAGATAAAGTATCAGCGTTTACACACTTGATCTGATTGTTGATCCGAAGTTAACTTCGAAGATAACTCAATTGCCAACGCTAGAACCGAAACGGTTCTTGCGTGATCTGCGCAGTGGCAAAGTCAAGCAGATCTGCATACTCGTCACAGAGGATGAGTATGCGGCCGATATGCGGTCGGCAACAGTATTTGCTAAGAACGAACGGGTTCTCAGCAGCTCATCGATGGACGAAAGTGTCCTTGATGAGAAGACTCGAATTGAGCGATACACGTCTCAATCCTGGGAGTCACTTCAGGCAAATCCTTTGGATAAGGATTTGATAGAATTCAGGGATGTATTCCTTGATCCGTACCTTGCGATTTGCCTAAGGAAAAAGGCACTCAACACGAGATCGAGCTCAAACCGGGCTCGAAGTACTGTGTCATGAAGCAGTGTCCACTGCCTCGTGAACAAGTACTAGAGATAGACAAGTTCTTTGCCGATCGCTTAGCAGCGGACCATGTGAGGGAATCAACATCCGCTCACAGCTCTCCGACCTTCTGTGTGTGAAAGGCCACAGGAGGGTGGCGGACAGTGCACGCATTCAACAAATTGATTGCTGCAGCTGTAAAGCCTCAGACGCCGATACCGAGGAAGGACGTCATCATAGATGGTATGTCAAAGAGTACCGTCTGTCGTCCATGGATCTGATGGATGGATACTATCAGATCCTGATGCATGAACGGGACCTCCGTTCACAGCAGTGAGCACCCCCAACGGGATGCTGTGGGAGTGGCTAGTTATGCCACAGGTGCTGATTACCGCCCTTGCAACGTTCAACAGATGGTCACAAATCTGTTGAGACCGGTGCGGGATTTTGCACCAAGTTACTTCGACGATGTGTTTGTCCATAGCCGGGCTATGGACGGAAAGACGGACGTAGAAGTTCACAGATCTTACGTTCGTCAAGTCCTTCAACTTATGCGCAAGCATAAGTTGTACGCCAACCTTAAGAAGTGTATATTTGCGGCTAGCGAAATACCACTTCTTGGGTGCATCGTGGGTAAACACGGCGTACGCCCCGATCTCGAAAAGATCAAAGTGAGCACCGACTGGACAGTGCCAGTCGATGTCAAGGGACTTCATAATCTTCTTGGGGTAGCGGCGTAGTTGCACAAGTACTCGCGCAACTAGGCCGAGATGAATGTTCATCTTTCTTGCCTGCTCAAAAAATGCATGAAGTGGACATGGAACGCTGAGTGCCAGCGTTCCCCTGAAGGTATCAAGTAATGCTTGATGCAATCGCCCACGTTGGCGATTTCCGACCAGGACAGACCATTTCATGTGGTCTGTGACCCCAGCGATTTGGCGATCAGCTGCTCGTTGGTGCAATTTAACACAGATAACGCAGATCGCGTCATCTGCTATCAATCGCGTCAGCTTCTAGCAGCTGAGAGTTATTATCAAGTCCTTGACAAGGAACACGTTGCCATAAAGTACGTACTGGCCGAGGTTCGGGTCTATCTAATGAACGATAGACCATTTATCGTCTATACGGACGATGGGTCACTACGCACGGCCGTAAAAAGTCCACACCTCTCGCAACAAATGGCGATGTGGCTTTTTATCTTTGTAGAGTACAAAGTTCCGTCAAGTACAAATTAGGACTACTGAACGTCGTCGCTGATGCGCCTTCGAGCCGTCCGATTACGAGCCGACTGAGCCATTCAACAGTGAGTCTTTTTTCAATGTTTCGATATTTACAGTCAGTGTGCCTTCTTCAGCATTACTTCACGACACAAGAAAGTCCTAATTGATTGATAGGATTTTTCGAGCCTAATAATATCTGGTATATAAAATCGTCAATCACTTAAAAAATTATTGTCTTTCTACCGTTAGTGATCAATCGTTAGACTACAAGAATCGGGCTGATGTATTACACACCCGTTGCCGGGAGGTGAAACATCGTGGTAGAGAAAAGACTTATCTTTCGGTAAGTCGTAACTTTACTGACCCCGCCAGATTCATTTGTACTTGAGTACATTCGTGTTTGCGGGGTTTTCCAACGAGTGAACCCTAGTACTCTATTTCATGCGCCTATGCACCCTCTACCATTGCTGGCTGAATGCTATCAATCAGCTGACATAAAATTGTCTTTGGTTTCCCCGTAGGCGAACGCATAAATATATGAATATTTGTGTTCGTAGAAAAAATTCGGTAAGGTGGT